AAAAAAAAAAGGTCAAGAAGGGAGAGGGTTGACATGTCGTGGGGCTGTTAACCAATGTCATAAAACAATATGTGTACTACTGTTTTATGAGAAATTATTTGCTCTGTAAACCTGCACCTGAAGTACAGTAAAAAAAAAAAAAAAAAAGTTAAAAAAAAAAAAGAAATCCAAAAAGGGCAGAGTGGGCACACCTGTGAGATGTCAGGAATAATTTTGCAACTTTGGATTGTTTTCGGCTGCTAACTGAAAGGTTAGCGGTTCAGAGTCCACCCAGAGGTGCTTTGGAAGAAAGTCCTGGTGATCTACTTCTGAAAAATCAGCCTCTGAAAACCCTATGGAGCACAGTTCTACTCTGACACACATGGGGTCGCCATGAGTTGGAGTCGACTGTATGGCAACTGGTTGGGTTTTGGGGTTGTGTTTTCATAGCACTACTGAATTTATCCACCAGGTGGCACCAAAAACCGAGACCTGGAAACACGAGGAAGCTACGTTTAACCTAGAAGTAGCTTAGCAGTTTGTCTGTAAGTATCAAGCCCAGATGACTCAACCGTGAGCTTGGTGCAGCCTCTGGTGCTCCCGACACCTGCTCCTAACCTACCTTGGTGCAGACCCCGGTGGTGGCGTCGCAGAGGGTGAGGATGGACACGTTCTGGGCCCGGTTCAGCCAGTTCACCGCGACTTTGGTACTGGTGGCCCATTTCACCACTGTGATGTAGTAATCCCTGAAAGTATGTAAATTCACAAGTTAGTAGTTGTGCAGGAACCCACACAGCCCACGGAAACCAGGAGATGTCACACCTCAGCCCTGGACACCGCAGTCCTGGAGACTGGAGTGTGGCAGGGGGCTGATGGGTGGATTTCCACACTCCGTGAAGTTCCGAAATGGCGGTTTCTCAAAAGTACGTACTTTCATAAACTCTGATAAGAAGTTGAGTCATTAACATGTTTAAAATAAATGTTACCGCAGTATGATTGTTTCTGAAATGTTTTAGAGAGTTACACATGCAAGTTCATGTGGCCCAACTGCTAGATTGTTCCCCCACCTGCAGGAGCTGGCGGGCCTTTGGGGCCTGATCAGTGGGTTTGATAAGCCACATGTTTCAGCTGACCCTTTATTGCCGACCTGCTGTGCATGCCATACTCCAGGGTGAACGGACAACTTGGTGTTACTGGGAGGCAGGGTGGCGGCCAGAGGAGAGGCAGGACAGAACACGCGCTAGGAAGGGGCTTGGAGGAGACACCTAGAAGGCGTTAAATACTATGAAAGGCATCAAGGGCCTGTGCGGAGGAAGGTTCTGTTTCCTTTTTCCCTCTTCCTTAAGGAGAAAATAACCAGAGACAGTCTCCAGCTAGTTAAGGAAAGTGGTTCATGGCTCTGGGCATCAGGCAAATTTGGTTTGATACCCTAGATGCCACATTCTTGATTTGACACAAACTGGAACATACCACACACAGCATTCTGTGTCAGCCTATACTTAGCACAAGGCATTGGTGCTTTTGGTAATTACTTCAATTGCTAAGAGACCTCCAAAAGCCGGATTAAAAAAAAATTACATTTAAGGGAAGAAACTAATGTCAAGAAAATATGTGCACAAAATGAATTTCCTCAGGTAAATCCCAAAGAATGTTCTAGGGGCCAGCTGACACTCATTCAATCACCTACCCCGTCTATATCTATAATGAGAGCTAATGTTCAGAAGGATTACTCTGTGGTCTTACAAGATCCTTTAACACTAAAGACTGTGACACATTCCCTAGACAACTCCTAGTAAACTGGAGAGGTGGTCTTACTACATTTAATAATTATTTTCAACAGAGAAGACTAAATGACCAGGTGCTTTGGACTAAGCCTTAGTTAACCAGGAGGTTAAATTGTTCAGTGTCTCCCATCCCTTAAATCTACCTCTTAATCCAAGTTTTCCATAACTTGACCTAAATGAATCAAACGTAGTAAACAGGACCAACACACACAAACATCTGGAGAGAGGCGAGCGGCTCTGACTCCAGCCCATCCCCTCCCACGTGGCCAGGAGGAGCAGCTCCAAAATTGTTTGTGGCAACCTTGGGGAACTGCTGCGGACACGGGTGGTAAGAAGTACACAAAATATATACACAAAGAGAAGGGTTACTCAGGCATAATCAGACTTTTATGATTTTCAACCATCTCAACTTCTGGGACTTTTGAAATACGGCAGTTTCTGTTCACACCATCTGCTCATGCAGCCCGCACGCCCTGAGAGATGGGTGTCTGTGTTTACAGGATTTGCGCTCCCACTCGCTCCTCTATGTGGATGCTCCTCTGACAGCTGACGCGTCCTTTAGGAGCCACTCACTCTGGAGCCTGGCTTGCTGAGTCTGTCTCGCTGCCTGAATGCTGGCACTGACGTTTATAATGATGGGGGTCTGATCATCTCCCCGAATATCTGTAGGTATGAAACATGTCTCATTTAACATTAGTTCTTTAAAAGAAATCAAGGTCTGTGCCCAGCCCTTCCTTCACGTGGAATACTTTAATCATGCCATGTCTTTGGGTCCACATTAGGTAGATGTTGGAGGCAGAATGCCCACTGGAAGGGCCATCAGGTCAGGGTATGCTAACTCCCTGTGTGCTCAGAGTGACCAGTGTTGGACATGTTTGAATGAAGACTTTCATGGCCCAGGGTATGTGTGTGAATCCACAGTAGCACTCTGCACTTCCTGTATCAGCACCCATATTCCACTTGGATGAAATCAAAGAAGAAGAAGGAAAAAAAAAAAAGATCTCCTGAAATGCTTATTTTCCCATGGCCTCCATGCTAACTGGGGAGGACCCTATTATTGTTTCCACTGATTCATCCTATGCCTCTTTCTAGTTTTTAGGGTGTTCTTTTGCACAAATAGTCTTTATATACCTAGTTATTGTCAAGTCGATTCCAATTCATGGCGACCCCATGGGTCAGAGTAGACCTGTGTTGTCAGGTGTCATCAAGTCAGTTCCAACTCATAGTGACCCTGGTTTTACTTCTTCTAAGACACGTTTGTTCGTTCTTCTGGCAGTACATGGTATATTCAATATCTTCACCAACACCGTAATTCAAAGGCATCAATTCTTCTTCAGTCTTCCTTTTCATTGTCCAGCTTTCACATGCATATGAGGTGACTGAAAATACCATGGCTTGGGTCAGGCACGCCTTAGTGTTCAAGGTGACATCTTTGCTTTTTAACATTTTAAAGAGGTCTTTTGTAGCAGATTTGCCCAATGCAATAGAGTCCTTAATAATTTTTATTGTCTCAAGAGTTTGTATTTAATATGTCTCATTTCATTTCATCACCACAAAATCTCAGTGTTTTGCTTTTGTTTTAATTCATATTACACAGATGAAGAAATTAAGGACTCGGATTACACATAAAATTCGTTGTAGAACCAAAACTTTCACAGAGGCAAGCTCCATTCCATCCCTTGATGTACAACGATGTTCCACACCACAAGGTTCCATAGTTAATTAGGCAACCCGGGTCCAGACATTTGTTCTAATGTTTAGTACAATTATTTTTTTTCTCTGTACAGTGTGCCTCATACTACAAACAAGGAAAGTCAAATAAACAAACAAACAATAATAGCTGTAGCACTCTTCTCACTCTAACTGGAAGTTTTACATGGTTCTAAGAGGAAAGGAGGAGCCCTGGTGGGGCAGTGGTTAAGAGCTACGGCTGCTAACCTAAAGCCTGGCAGTTCAAACCCACTAGCTGCTCCTTGGAAACCCTATGAGGCAGTTCTACTCTGTCCTATAGGGTCACTATGAGTCGGAACTGACTCGACGGCACCTAACAACAATAAGAAGAGGAAAGGAGCAGAGTGGCTCCAAGCAGTGGCTTCTAGATCATAACAGAGCTTCCCCAGTAAAGTCCTTGACTGCGTTTCAGCGCCAGGAAGGCAGGCTTGCTGCTACACTTCCATACTTTGTGGTTAACGGCTTTAAACACGAACAATCAATTGTTATGTTGGGCCATAAAATTTCGGTTGATGCTGCACAACATATACTTATTTCCTCCCAGCCCCACCCCCAGGCTATAAAATAGTACACAGCTCAATGATGTTTCTTGCATGATTTGTTCCAAAGGCATCGCTAAAGAGTTTTATTACAACAACAATTAAAAAAAAAAAAGCTTTGCATGCATCTATTGATTTCCATGCATAATGTTTATATACCAAATTAGGAAATGGAAAAGTTGACAAAAGGGTGTAGTTACATTTGGCTTATATGAAGATTGGAGTCTCTGGGTGGTGCAATGGTTAACATGCTCAGTTGCTAACCAAAAGATTGGAGGTTTGAGTTCACCCAGAGGCACCTCAGAAGAAAGGACTGGAAATCTACTTGTGAAAAATCAGCAACAACAAGGGCTCTATGAAGATATTACATATCAAGACTGCTTTTTTAAATACACACATATATGACAATTCTCCCTCTACACAAGTAGTGGTTTTTCACCTTTCAGGCAGTTATATGTGTCTTCCAATCATGTTGCCATTCATTAAAACATTTTTTGGACCTTTCATCTGAATCTCCTTCAGACTTTACATTGGGATCATTGCCTTCATGGCAACATCCCATCTCAAATCAATATTCCCTAATTTCATGAACAGCAGCAATGGCTAGTTTTGGTTATAAAATAAATAGACAGAAAGAGATAGAGATGGAAAGAGAGAGATTAGAGAGATGGATGGGTGGGTGGATGGGTGGATGGGTGGATGGGTGGATGGATGGATGGATGGATGGATGGATGAATGGATGGATAGATAAATAAAAACCAACTTGCAAAAATAAAGCATTGCCCCTTGGGGGGGCATTTAAAAAGAGTATGAGCTGTGTTTTGGTGCTGGTGTAGAGTGCCTCGGAAAGAGGTGCTACCTTGGGTGGTATGACATTCTTTTGCTTTGTAAGATTTTGTAGACACACTATATGTTAATGGAAATGAAAATAAAACATTTACCAGCTTAAGGAAAATTTCCCCAAGCAGAAATCCCTAAATAGAATAAGTGAAGTCTTTCTAACTTCTAATATTTTTTCATTTCCCTTAACTTCAAAGCTGTTAACTTAATCATATATAGAAGAAGTGCATCATAAGGTTGATCATAAGGTTGGTGTTAGTAACCAAGGCTGTGCCCATCTCAAGTTATTGTGATTGTTTAGGAGGAGCATCTGTCTGGTTGTCATATATGGCATCAACATTGCCCATATCAAATGCAGAATCTATAAACAATGTTTCCAGCACACAATGGTGTCTGGCTAGTAAATCTGAGTTAGTCTTTACTAATTTTGTATTAATACGCCCATAAAGACTCAAAAATGATGAAAAGTCAAACTACCACTAATATTTAACATCAAAAATATCTAACTGTAACATAGATGGAGCTGCATTAAACTAAAGAATGAGTTGCCTATGTTTGCTTGATCGTAAAACAAGGCAGCACTGGCCATGGAAAAGCAGAAAGTATTTTTTTCTCTCTCCCATTGTCTTATCCTTCCCTCAGCAATGCTGGGTCTGCACCAGCCAGAAATTTAGGAAGCCAAACCTTTACTACAGTGGTGTTACATGAGATAATAATTGTTTATGTCCACTAATTGACTTAGATAAGGAGCCCTGGTAGCGCAATGTTTATGCGCTTGGCTGCTAACTAAAAGGTTGGCAGCTCAAACCCCCCAGCTGCTCCCCGGGAGAAAAGACTTGCTGATCTGCTTCT